CTGCATCCTTCTTTGATGCATTACCCCCAAGCGGCACAAGCGCCACTACCGGCTGCTCCTCCTCCTCCAACGCTTCCTCCAACGCCTCTTCCTCAGCAGCCGCCAGGATCTCTTGATTATATGTATCAGAACACTGGCGGTACGTTTTTTCAGATGAGGCAAAGTCGGCATTAGGGAAGAGGTGGCCCCAAGTCATGCGCTGGATTTGAGCAGAGTCTTCCATTATCTCCCGGACCAGCTCTTTCTTTTCTTGCTCGGCCTTTTCCGAGAGCTCCTAAGTAAGACTCTTCTCCTGGGTCACCAGGCGTACCTTTACGCTCGCCAAGGATTTCTCCAAGGTTTCGTATGAGGACATCTTTTGGCGAAGAGGTTTCAGCTCGGCCTTGAGGTTGTTGATGGTCGCCTCCAGCTCGCTATTCCTCTTCTGGGCTGCCTCTAACTGAGCCCGGATAGCGGCGGTAGCCTGCGCCTGATAATAAAGAATATCAATGGTCAGAACTACATTTTGGGCAATTTGAAACATTGCCTTATCACAGTCAGAGGCGGCCATAGCTTTTGCAGCCTTTACCTCTTTGTTCTTCCGGTCAAGCGGCTTGCGAAGGCCGTTCACTCGGAGCAGGGCCTAATAAAAAGGGGAACATGCGTCAGTTTCCAAACAAAAAGAAAACAGGCGTCCTGGAATTAAAATACTCAAAAATATGCTAAGTATACCTCAGCAAGGACCCCTGCAATCCCGTCTAGGTCAAGGGTGCCGACACCCCTGACCACCTCTCTTTCAGCTGGAGGAACGGCCTTGATCATAGACTTGGCCACCTCGACCAAGTCAGGCTCCTGAGGGCCGGCTGCATCAAGCATAAACAAACGGATTAGACCTAGTAAAGAAGGGAGCAAGTCTAAAATTTACAAGGACAATTTCATACTTCTAGGTGGCCCAGCTGGAGTTTTAGAAGAAGTGGCCGGCTGTTTCTCAGCCGCCGCATGTTTCCTGGCAGAACCAGGAGAGCTCGCAACAGTCGTCCTCCGGGCCTTGGGGTCCGGCTGTTGGGAAGAAGAAGCTCTTGGAGCGCCCGTCTAAAAAAGAAGAAGTCAGTATATGCATAAACACAACTCCAAAAAGAGGGTGAAAGGTTCGAAGCCCACCAAGGGTGCCCCCTTGTTGGGGGAGTCGGTTGAAGCTTGTTGCATGATGGAGGCCCGCAACATGGCCGCCGCAGTCTTGGAGGCGGTAATTTTGCTCATGGCGTCCGCTGCAAAAACAAATAGCAAAGTTAATAAAAGTCATAACAAGAAATGCATGGAACAACAGAGTATTCGACAGGCCGGCTACCTCTTGAGCACCGACTGCTGAGGCCACAGGCGGCCAAAAAGTACTCGTCGTAGAGCCATTTGAAGCTCGGGACGCAGTGCAGGGGTACTTGCTCTCGTACCCCTGAAGTAGAGTTCACCTTCGACTCTACTTTGAAGAGTCCTTTATCTAGGATCTCTTTCTTAGCCTTGGGGGGAACAGGCGGCATGTTGCGGCCGCCTGCAAGAAGGGGCGGATTCCTGTTCCACCTGTTGAAGCGCTTGTTCAGCTCTGTGTCTGAACTCTCAATGATGAGGAAAGTGCTCCGCCAGTCCTTCCATTTGTTTGCTTTACCTCTCGTCATGAGGTAGCCCCTGTGGCTCGTCAATTGATACCAGCCGGTACCGCCTGCCTTAGGGGTCCGGCTGAGGTAGTTCATGTGGGCGAAAGCCTCGAAGCTCGGCTCCACCCCGTGCAACTCGCACCCGGCCACATAGCCGAGTACGTTGACCTAGGAGTTCGGGGCTAACTGCCATAACCCCAACTCATACCCATCCAAGATCCGCTGAACAGCCGGATGTGGTGGGAAGCGCAGCCCAGCCTTGATGGCCGCCTCGTAGCAGCCAAAGCAGGCGCTATCATAACTGGTACCAGCCGGCCAGACGACTGCGTCTTCTGGATCCGGCACAAACACTAAAAAGCCGGGGCCCATTGTGTGGTTTGCGATAAAGCTCTCCACTTTCTCTTGCATGGCCGTGATCCGGCCCCGAGGTACCGTGCAGTAGTAGGGGGTATTTTGCTCTCGGTGAGAGGCGGATGGCTCCACCCAATCGTCCCCCTTCTCAACTGCGTGAGAAAGCCTCGCCTCTTGCAGTCGACTGTTTTTCTCTTCTGTGTCAAGAGAAGCATGGCCATAAGAGCTAGACTCGGAATCGTCCTCTGACGAGTTCGAAGAGGACGACTCCTCCCCTCTCCCAGAGGGGCCCGCCTCCTCTCCTTTAAAAGGAGCAGGAGAGAATGTAGAATTGTCAACTATAAAATGGGAAGGGGTCACTTTGACTCCTCTCTCAGAACTGCCGGCTTTCAAGGCGCTTTGTTTCACTTCCACATCTGGCGCCTGGTCAGATGTTTCACTAATCGGCACCCTGTGGGAGGAGCCGTCTGAGTTTGAGATCCTGACAGTCTTTTTTTGTTCTGGCCATCATGCTCTGCATAGACACAGATACAGTCGGACTTTGTATAAAGGGCAAAGATGGGTCCGGAAAAGGGCAGGCGGCACTCCTAGTCCTAGATTCACCCATCCCCGGTGACCGGCTGATCACTAACCTAGGTCGTGTCGTGTGCTTCCGTGGTGCCATTTCAAAAAAGAATAAAATTAAGAGTAAGAGAACCGACGGTTACCTGAACGAGTGACGTTGATGGAGTTCTGAAAATCCTGTGCAGTCGGCTTGTCAGAACAGGCGGTAGGCAGAAAGGGACCAAAATGTCAGAGCAAGTTCAGGGGTCCGAATGTTCTCTCACAAAGTTCTCAAGTGTGAAAATGACCGAAGTCAACACTCCTTTATATAGGCGAAGTGAGAAGGTGAAGGGTCACTTCCAGAATTCATAATTTGGGCGGGAGAATCTCTCGGCCTTTCGCCGAGTGACACCTGTAGCAGGCCGTCGCCTGTTACAGTGCGACACCTGTCACAGGTAACACGTGATCAGTCACGTGCCACCTGTGAGGGGCAAATGATTAGGGGATTTTGCTCCCACCAATCACCATCTGACAAGTGGACCAATCAGGTTCCGCCATGTGTCCATCACATGGGCCAATAGGAGCCTGCCACGTGTCAAGCAATGATCCGTCCACCTTGGACCAATTACGACACGACACGTGTCCTTCCCATGACACCTGGGATAACCGGTCACCTAGGCCCAACTTCCGAGGGATGCCCAATCAGCCCAAGGTTAACCTAAACCTAGATTGGCACGTTTCCCGAGGTTATAAATACCTCCCTTAATCCTCATTAAGGGGGATTACAGGCTGATCACGCTAAAAAAACAGATTACCTACATTAAACACTCTCACCTAGAGAGACCCAATCACTTTAATTTCTGCATTAATTACTCATTAATCAGGTAGTAACTTGACCGTTGGAGGCGGAGCTCCCACCACCAGGAGTCTCCGTTGTTTTGCAGGTACAGGCGTCCGGTTCCAGTCTCGGAATTGTAACTCTCCCGCAGGACATCAGAAAACCCCGAAACAGATAGTTTGGTCACCAATCTACAATATCAAGTTATCTTGCCACATGTCACATTTTGATTCGTCCTATATATTTAAATTTTTTTTAATTTTTTTTTCTTTCTTTTTTTTTTTTTTTTCTCTGTTTCCCTCTCCCCTCCCCTTCTGTTAAATCAGCCCCTATCCCTCCACCTCCATTAATTCCGGTAACAACCCCTTTCCTTTGCTTTTCTGACCACCCCTTCCCCTCCATTCCCCTACCACCCACCTAAAACCAGCGAAATCTCGAGACCCCTGCCACTACCAACCCAAAAACCTCGAAAACCTAGCAACCACCAATCTCATAACCCCGAAACCAACAACACCACCAAAACCCTGACCACTATGAAATGCCGAAACCCCGACCACCCTCAAAACTCCAAATCCACCACCAACCTCCAAAATCCCGAAACCACCAACCCCAAAAGCCCTCTTCTCCTACAATCTCCCTCCGCTTCTGGGTTGATAATTATGCTTGTGTTTGGGGTTGTAGAGGGGTTTCGGGATTTCGGAGGTGGCTGAGTTTCATGGGTTGGGTGGATGGATTTTGGGTTAAATGGGTTGGGTGACTAGGTTTCACGGTTTTGGGAAGGTGGCTGCGCTGGGTGGCTGGGGTTTTTATGGGTTTGGTTGGGTGGTTGGAGGTGGCTGAGTTCTAGGGGTTAGGAGGAGGTAGGGTTTCTTAGGTGGTTTGGTGGCTGGAGGTTGCTGGGCTCCAAAGGGTTGGGTTGCTGGGGCAAGAGGGAAGGAGAAGGAGTGAGAAATAAAAAAAGGTTTTTTTTTTTTAATTTGTTTTGTTCAATTGAAAAATTATGTGAACAATAGGTAGCAGGTCAATGTGGCCTAACCAATAAAATTGAAGACCCTTCAAAATTTAAATTATTTTAGAATAATCAAAAGGTTGGACTAATAGATTTAAACGGACTAAAAATTGAATTATTTAAATCAATTTTCTTAAAAGAAAAAAGTCAAAACACCTAAATGGAAAATAAAATATAGTAAATTGTTTTTATGTATAGTGTATATCAACACGACACATCAAAAACACAAAAATGACCCAAATAATAATATTTTGCGCTTATCAACATTTATTTTAAATTTAATTAACGTTAAAATTTTTTATTGTCCATATTAATAAATAGACCATCAAAAATTTGAAAAGCACAAAATTTTAGAAAAAGAAAAAATATGAGATGAACTTTGTTGTCATTTGTCGTGTTTGCCCAACAATCATGATATTAGTTTTTCCTAATATTGGAAAAAGAATTTATTTTTAGTGCTATACCATTTGATTGATAGTCTTTTATTCAGAACCATTGTTACTTGGGAATGTTTCTGTTTTGCCTCTGAATATTTTTTGTTTTTCTTCTCTCTGTTTATATTATATATAAGGTACCGTTTTGCACATTACAAACATAACAATTTATAAGTTGAGGAGCTAGGAAAAAAAAAAAAAAAAAAAAAAAGAAATGGGGAAGTTTCTTATATTTGCTTTTGCAAGTTTTCTTTTTGTAAATAGTACCTTAACAATAAATGCACAAACTCTAATTCCGGAAAACGATGCTGAAGTTAATACTTGGTTTCAAGCTGCAATAAAACCTATTAGGTATTCAAATATATATATATTTTTTTTTTATTCATATATTATCACATATCATTTATAAACGACTAATGTACACTAGTCATAGTCATTAGTGATGGGTAGAAAGTAGCCAGATGTAAACTTATGTGCTACTTTTCATAATTATTTTAGAATATTCAAATTATACTAATTATTATACTTGTACATTAATTTATATAACATGTGCTCAAAACAAATTTTCTCACTTTGCAGTGCACAAAGAGGAACATTAGAACCCAGTGTAGTAGAAGCTGAAAGTGGTGGGGTAGAAACTATCGACGTAAGACAAGATGGAAGTGGAAAATTTAAGACAATATCAGATGCTGTGAAACATGTTAAAATAGGAAACACAAACGTGTAATTATAACAATTGGTCCTGGAGAGTACAAGGAAAAAGTTAAAGTTGATAGATTTAAATCCTATGTCACTTTTTATGGAACAGATCCTAAAAATAGGCCAACTATAACATTTGCTGGTACTGCTGCTGAATATGTGACTGTAGATAGTGCAACATTGATTGTGGAGTCAGATTACTTTGTCGCTTCCAACATAATTGTTTCGGTATACAACTCATTCTTCTTATTACTAATTATTTTGAAATTTTCTTATATAACATTTTAATTTCATATGCTCGTAAATTTATATGCACATACTAGTTTATTACATAGTTATTTTCCAATTTTATGGTTCTAATGGGATAATAAATAATTTCAAGCAATAACACAAGTAGTAAACTGAAATCAAATGGTACAAAGAGTTTTATTAACAATCAAAGCATATATTATTTCACATGGGAGAATTCATGATATAATTAATAGTTAAGTATAAGAATTTCATGTATTATACCCTAATTTCAATCAATCTAATATCCAAATTATTGTATAAGCTTAATTTAATTTTAAGCTATATACAATCTAAAGTGCCTTACAACTATAAATTTAGTGATTTAGATTAAAAAAAAAAATCTCAATTACATAGTTCTACTCCTTCGTTTCTTTATGTTTCTCCCATTTGGAAATAATATAGATTCTTATTTCTCTAGATAATAATACAAAATTAAAAGTACTCGTGAGGGTTTTTCGTCTTAATGTCTAATTTATAATGCCATGTTTATTTTTTTTTTTTTTTGAGGAAAGCCATTTTTAATTTTGTAGTACAAATTAACGATATTGATAGAAGTTTTCATTATTTGAACTTCTGCAAAATGAGAAATGGGAACATATTTAAGAACAAAGGTAGAATAAAAAAAATTAAAGATTTTAAAATACTACAACCTCTGTTTTTATTTAGTTGACACCGTTCTATATATTATCAGGCTTGCCAACACACTTTTTTAACGATTAATATCTCTAATTTCCGACATTGTAAATTCATAAAATTAGTGGATATCAATAAAATATACATTGAGACGATTTAAACAAGATCCCACTTGCCTATCTATGTTTTATCATAGCTATAAATCATAAAGCTTTTCAAATTGTAATTGGTAAGCAGTGTAAAAATCAAACGGCGTAAAAAAAAACGAAAAACGGAGGAAGTACGTGTTATTGGATAATGCAACCACAATATTATTCCAAGTATAAAGAGATTATGATTTTTTGACTTTGACAATATTTGTTGAATGAAACTTTCTTTAGGTTGAAAGGTAGAACAGAATGGGAAGGAAATCATTAGTAAAAATATTATAATGTTAATTGTTTTGAATCATTTTACTAATTAAGTTAAACGATTATGTTGAATAATTATAAAATAATTAAACTAAACAAATTTGTTGATAATATGACTTTTGATTGAAAGTGGCTGCTTTTAGATGGAAAATCAAACTATATCGATAAATTTGTCTAATTACAGAATTCTGCTCCAAGACCTGATGGAAAACGAAAGGGAGCTCAAGCTGTTGCAATGAGAATATCCGGTGATAAAGCTGCATTTTATAACTGTAAATTTGTGGGATTTCAAGACACTGTTTGTGATGATAAAGGAAAACATTTTTTCAAGGATTGTTATATTGAAGGGACTGTTGATTTTATATTTGGTGAAGCAAGATCTTTATACTTGGTAAAACAATTTATCTTCCTCTTTGATTCATATGGACAATAATGTCAATTCAATTCGACAGAAAATCATTAGCCGTCTTATTCTCACTAAAAAGTTGATTTAATAACTTTGATTGGCAGAATACTGAGCTTCATGTTCTATCGGGTGATCAAATGGCAATGATTGTTGCACATGCAAGAAAAAATCCAAATGGAGAAGGTGGGTACTCATTTGTCCATTGTCCAGTGACTGGAACAGGTGGTCATGCTGTCTTAGGTAGAGCATGGTTTGAGGCTGCTCGAGCTGTATTCTCCTATTGTCCCATGAGTGACGTTGTCAATCCTGAGGGATGGTCTGACAATAATAAGCCCGAAGTACAAAAGTAAGTATCTCTTATTTTATATGATGGGAATTAAATTTTTATATCATCTAAAGGTTTCACAAAACTATCACCTAGTAGTCTAGTACATCTTTGCAATTATTCACAAAAAAGAAAATAAAAAATAAAAAAATAATTCTCTGATCTATCATACATGGGAGAAAATTTATGAAATTTAAAAGTGATATTATTTGAAGTTACCCTCAATATGAAAAATACTACAAAAAAAGAAGTTATGAATCATACATGAAATAGATAAAAAAAAAAAAAAAAATCATTAAATTTTAAGTCATCTGCCAAATTATATTGTTGTTTTTCTATACACTCCTATTTTGAAGATATATATGACTTTAAATACATCTAAATACTCCCGTCACCAAAAAAAATAAATATATATATATATATAATTATTTTTTTATAAATTTTTTAAATAATTCAATCTAGCCATTGTCTTAATAATAGCTCACTTTTTCTTTCAAAATAGTACAAAAGAAATAAAGTGAGTTTTATTAATAATATCCATTCTCCCTAGATTATAATACATGATACTATAAAAATATTAATGTCATTTAATTGAATGTTTGTAGGACTGTGTTCTTTGGAGAGTATAACAACAAAGGTCCTGGTGCATCACTTGCAAAACGAGTTCCGTATACCAAGAAATTAACAGAAGCGGAAGCAAAAACATTCATCAGTTTGGAATATATTGATGCGGCGAAATGGCTACTTCCGCCTCCTAAAGTGTGAAATAAGTTAGCTTATAAGCCAAAATTGAAAAACGACAAAAAAGATAAATAGGGTACATCAATAATATCTTTGGATTATTAATATGTTAGTCTATTTCGATATAGTAGTAGGGTGATCTTAATTGTGGAGTTACTTATTATTTCCCTAATTATGACTTTCAACAAGGAAAGGTTTTGTTTAATACAACAATGACTTTTAATTATATTTATACTTTTACTTCATTTTATGTTTTGCGCTTTTAGCTAATAACCTATAGAGGTAAAAAGCCACTCCGTTCCTCTTATTTTCCCTCAGCTAACAAAAATTTTAAAGTCACAATGCAAAAGATATAAAGAGTGGATAGCGTTGTACTAAAACGCCACATGAATTGCAATCCATTTTGATTTAATAAAGATGAATAAGTTACATCAATAATATATTTGGATTATTGAGACATATACTTCCTCCGTTTCAATTTAGATGATACTTTTGACTTTTGACAATATTTATAAATTTGTTGGCTTTTACTAACATTTGTGATTTTAGATATAAAAAAAAAAGGCAATCATGTGGGATCTTGTTAGATTCGTTCAATGTGTATTTGATTAAATAATTTAGTTTTTTTTTCTTACAATCTAATATATATAAATAAAGTAGGCATTTTTGGAAAGCATTTGGAGTGCCACTTAAGAAATATATTTATTTCGACCAATAAGAAGAAAAATTTGTATTTTATTTTTGAATTATAAAATTATGTCGCCACCTAGATAAAAGTAACGAATTAGATTTGATATATCTAAAATTTTAATGCCACGTAGATTATAATCCACGAATTAAATTATTTTAATGAAAAAAATAAAGTAAAAATATAGGAAAAGATAAATTTATTAATTCAATACTACGAGTATAAGAAATCTAAAAAAAAAATACTAAAAAATATTTAAATGATAAACGCTTATAATAAAGTTTGATACCTATCATTATAAGATAAATTTTGATAGTATTTATGATAAGAAATACAAATTGTTCGTTAATTATAATTAAATTAAAATTTTGTTAATTATAAATTAACACATCATACGACACAAACAAAATTTCGTATCAATACAAAAACCCCATCAAGCGAATTTTGTGTTAGTAATTTTGTGTTAATTTTTTGTCATCAATGGTTGGGTAATTTTTAGCTTAATTTTTAAAATTCTATGATTAAATTAGTATTTCTAATTATTACTTACATTGTATTAATTTGGGATACTCAACGATTATATGTTTATGTTTTATGTACTAAATGTTTTTTTACATGCAGATGTAACACATCATACGACACAAATAAAATTTTGTATCAATATAAAATCCCCATCAAGAGAATTTTGTGTTGGTAATTTTGTGTTAGTTTTAGGTCATCAATGTCCGGGTAATTTTTAAAATCTTATGTTTAAATTTATATTTGTAATTATTAGTTACATTGTATTTATTTAGGATACTTAACGATTATTTTTTTATGTAATGACATACGATTAGATGTTGTATACTTAATATATGGATGGCTTTGGTTATTTTTGGAGATGATGAAAGTATTCCAATGCATAGATTTGATTTTATATCGCAACAATTTTTCATCTATTGGTAATATATTGATTTATTTTATATAAATGTAAAAATTTAATTTATATCAATTTCAGTTTGGCTAACATTTCACGGTTCAATTTATCCATTGATGTAGTAGGTTGGTTGTGGACAAGGTTGGTGGTTCTATCAAAATAAAAAAAAATGGTAAATTTAAATTATTAATAATTTATCATTTTACATTAAAAATTTTATATAACGGAAAAAATATCATATTTACAATTTATTTATATTTAATAAATTCATTATAAATTATAGTAAAAAAAAATATTAAACTTTTGTAATTTTGTCTGAAATTATTAAATACAATAAATCAAATAATTAAAAAATTTAGATGAAAAAACCGTGCATCGCACGAGTTTCCATCTAGTAGAATAATAATTAAAGATATTTTTTTATTAAGTTTTTACATAGTTAAACTTGATAAAAGAAACAAGCTATTTAATTTGGAACTGACGTTGGGGAATGAAAGAGACCACGATCAAGAAAATAGAAGTAGTAGGGTGATTGACATAGTATTTAATACACTAAATTAAATCTATTTGTAATTTGTAACTATATACAAGTATTATTTATTGAGAATGATCTCTTGGACCAGTGGCCCAGAGGTTACCTTGCATCCTTGAGGTGCGAGGTTCGATTCTCATCATGCACAAATTCCATCCCCCTACCCCCTCTAGGCATTGTCAATTCTTTTGGTACAATAATTTGCATATTTATACAAATATTTAATTCTTTTACATACATACTCATCTCACATCATGATATATAACTGCATATTTGTTCGTATATTTTATCCCTATTATTATTCAGCCCGTTTTTTGTGCGGTTGGTCACACCATGTGGCCACTTGTAAAAAAACAAAGTAACCCCTATAACACTGTTAAGTAACCCTTGTAAATGTATCGAGTAATCCCTATAACATTGAACGAGTAACCCTATAACACTGATGAAGTAACCCCTATTACACAAACAAGGTAACTCCTATAATAGCCGGCCACGCCGTGTAGCAAGCCACATATAAGAATTTGTGTTTTTATTATTCTAGTTGTCTTTTATTTATTTATATTGAGTTATTGTCTGTTACGATTTTATGAGTTATATTTAGTAACAATATATTTTTATTGATAATTAAACTTAATTTATATATTTTAATCTTAATAGGTGACATGGGCTACGTTGGGAGAATTGGAGCAAGTTCTTTCCAATAATAATGTGCAAATTAAGGAAATGAAAGAAGGAACCACTCACCCTTTACTCCACCAAAATTCCGTCCTCCACGCACAAAAGAAAGAAGGGAATTCTTCCTCCCTTCCCTTTCACATTGTGGCAACTCTTTAAAAAAATGGAAGCAAACCCGATCATACCATTTTGTCTCCTCTTCACAGCAAAATATGTAATTCTTGCACTAATTGCTGATAGAATATGATAAATATTCTAGATATTATTTTGTATAGAAGGATATAGTTTTGTGAATATTCTGTAAATATCTTTTGAGATTTTCTAACGTGATTAGGACTCATCGTTGTAACCCTATATATATGAATCAATGGAATACGCTCCAACCGAAAGAGTTTCATATTATCTAACATGGTATCACAGCTTAAGTTTTGATCCAACCTTTGCTTCCGCATTTTTTAATTAATTTTTTTTAACCATCCCCACAGCCCTAGCCGCCACCCTCTTCTTCCCGTAGTCATCCCAAAATCCAGCCAACATGACCAAGGACGGAGACACCTCGTCTTCTTCCTCTGAGTTTCATCCTACTCTCGGGGTTAACAACATCAAAAACGCAATCCCCCTTATTCTTGACCGCGAGAAGGTTCAATATTCAAATTGGGTTGAGTTATTTGAATGTCACTGTCATGCCTTTAATGTTCTTGATCACATCGATACAAAAACCAAGAAAACTACGGATCTCTTTGATGATATGTGGAAGAGGCTCGATTCAGATGGCAAAAATTGGATTTATGGTACAATCTCGACTGATTTGCTAGAGACCATTCTTTGCAAAGGGGATACTGCACAACAAATTGGGATAAACTCAAGGCAATTTTTCAAGATAACAAAACCACTAGGGCGGTTTATCTTGAAAATCAATTTAATTCCTTGCATCTCTCGAATTTTTCTGATATTTCAGCCTATTGTCGAGAGCTGAAGAATCTCAAAGATCAACTAGCCAATGTTGATCAAATCGTATCGGAACAAAAATTGGTAATTCGCTTAGTCTCGGGTCTTGTGAATACCGATTTTGACATAGTAGCAACTATGATTCAACATACGGATCCTCTTCCAACCTTTAAAATTGCGAGATCTCGTCTCTTACTCGAAGAGTCTAGGCGTGCGAATGATTCTAGTGTTGCTCGGTCGTCCTTTGTGGCTCAGACTTCGACCAACGCTGCCCCTGACTCTACGGCACCAGCACAACAACAACAACAACCTCAGCAAACGGGCAGAGGTGGAGCCCCTGGTGGTCGAGGATGAAGGGTCGCGGTCGTGGCCGCGGTAGAGGCTGAGGCCGCGGTCCTGGGCAGCAGTAGTAGGCCCAACAGCAGCAGCAAGCCGCACCTCAATGGGGGCAACCGGGATGGTCAGGCCAGGCCGCACATTCGCAGGCACAACAGGCCCCCTGCAGTGGGGTCAGTGCCCTACCCGCATCCACCGCAATGGTCAACCCCGTGACCTGGTTATGTGGTCGCGCCAGCACCCTGAGCCCCCAACAGCACACTATGCCGCACCGAGTCAGCAGCCATATGCGTACCAACAACAGCCGTCCCAAGCATATTTCAATCAAGGCACGGAGTATACTCCTACCGACCTTGGCAACGCTTTCGCAACTATGGGATTTTAGAATTATGATCCGGCTTGGTACATAGATTCCGGCGCCACTTCCCACATGACAAACAATACCGGTAATCTCTTACCCTTTTTAATTTAAGCACACATAATTATATTCAGGTGGGAAATGGTCATCGCATTCCAATTACGGGTTATGGTCATTCTACTATTGCTAACAAATCCCTTGCTTTACGTGATGTTTATTTAGCTCCCCAAATTATCAAATATTAATTTCCATTAGAAAATTTACTTCTGATAATTCCGTCTCTATAGAGTTTGATCCTAGTGGTTTTTCTGTGAAGGAACTACGAACGGGGAAACTAATAACCAAATGCAATAGTACGGGGGATCTTTATCCAGTGACCAACTCACCGTCAACTTGCCTAGCCACTTCTCTCACAGCTTTGTCTCCAACCACTTGGCACAACCGCTTAAGACATCCCGGGGCACCCACTTTTCATTTTCTTAAAGTAAAAATTTAATTGATTGTAATAAGGAGCATGACTCCAATAGTTTTTTTGTAGGTTGTCAATTGGGAAAACATATTCGTTTTCCGTTTCATACCTCTAATAGTACTATTGTTTCTGCTTTTGATATTATTCATGCTAATTTATTTACTTCTCCTATTCGAAGTGAAAAAGGTCATAAGTACTATATGGTTTTATCAGATGATTATACTCATTATGTGTGGGCCATACCTCTAGTTTACAAGTCTCAAGCCTTTCAAACCTTTCTCAATTTTCGACAATATGTGCTCACTCAATTTGAACGACCCATAAAATCATTTCAAAGGGATCACGGTCGCGAGTTTGACAATGATCCGTTCAAATCATTCTATTTCAAAAATAGTTTGGTTTTTCGTTTTTCATGTCCACACACATCATCTCAAAATGGCAAAGCCGAACGCATGATACGTACGATTAACAACGTTAAACGTACATTATTGTTTCATACTTCTCTTCCCCCATCGTTTTGGTTTTATGCCCTTGAAA